GTAACAATTAGTGAGCGTGGTGAGAGGGCACTCTGACCTACCCTCTAAGAGACGGTCCCGCAGCGGCCGCTCCTCTGAGAGAGGCGAGAGCCACGTGTGACCCTCGGGATCCTTCACAAACCTCTCCTCATTGGGGGGGAAGTCGCAGAAACATCCTGACAGCTGGTAGCTGTAGGGGTCCACTCTGAACCTTGTGACTCAACAGGAGGGTCCTCTGATCTTCGCACCTCCCATCACTCTACAAATCATTCTAAATCAAGTTTTCTTTGTATGTTTCTTCCAAGCAGTAATGAATTAGGTGAACCTTACCATAAAGTTTCTTGAACTCTGTCAAATTATTATTTCACCTCAGTCAAAGATACTTGCTGCTTCTCTCTTTTGAATGAGGTGCATTCCTCTTATCCATGACAATATGTAACTACACATACTTATTTACAGTGATACTGACCGCCATTACAACTGAAATTCGATTTAGTGCTCCAATAACAGGTGCAGAAAGGATGTCTCGATGCAGGAATAATAATTGTCTATAATAAAGCAAACAAAAAAACCAAAACAGAAGTTAAAAAATAATTTTCTGTACTTGATTTTCTCAGCATAAATTTATTTTCCTCATCTTCTGCAAACAAAACACATCGCATTTTTAATTGTCTTCCAGTGGTTCAGTATAATATATTGGACTAGTCCAAGGTACTTGCTCTTAACTCACCTACAGTATCTAAGACAGAGTACAGGTCTTTGGCACATAAACAGAACTCTCCAAAAGTGTCTCTTTTGGCAGAATTTCTCATTTCTTCCCTTCCTTACTAAAAGGAATGGCATAATGCTTGTTTGTAAGTAACATATGTATGCTTTCCAAGTGTTCATTCCACTCAGTCTCAACCTACTTAAAGCAATAGAATAGCCTAGAAGATGTACTTTAAGCGTTCCAACTTTGCATGTGAACACCAATTAATTTTAACTTGTTAGTAATTCCAAGTAGGTGGCCTTGTTAGTTTTACCTGATGACATTTAAAATGTAATAGAAATGTAGGTTTCTTTTCCAATAGCCAGCAAGTCCTCCACAAAAAAAATCACTAATTTGAACAATTTTATACACTGATAAGAATTTTGCTGATTTTATTACAGTTAATTCTAGCACTGCTAATGATATAGTTGAATAACAACCACCAACAGCTTCTGAAAATAATAACACTCAAAATTCTTTACCTGCAAATCTTTATCTGTGTACTCCTCATCTCAGCTTCTGGTATCTGAGGACTCAGTGTTACTGTAGTGGCACAGAGTTTTTGTAGCTCTGGCAGACTGGCAAAGAACAGAGACTGGTGCCTGGCGTTATTCATGTTATACTGCTGATTACCACAAGGCAGCACCTGGGTTTAAAAGATAATTATTATTAATTCATTTTTACAAGGCAGGTATTTGTTTACAGAACTTCAGAAATACATGTTATCAGGTAAATGAATAATCAGTTTTCTTCTGATTAATATTAGGTAGGCAATATACCACAATGTCATCAACTAAAACAGAGTGCTCAATACATTTTTGCTATAAATAACACATTATACTTGAAAAAAATAACAATTTACAAGAGTAAAAATATTCAGAGTGAAGACAATGACAAAAGCATCCTTTCCACCTTCTTCTCAGTCTGTGTCGAGGCTGGAATCTATCTAGGTTCCAAGAGCTAAGGAATCACTCTCCTATGTTGGTCCTCTCCTATCTGGCAAGAAAATTAAACTCCCAGAGCTCAGCAGTAATCTCACTAAGTCATATGAAGACCAAGGTGGGCCTGTCAGAGAGCACGAAAAACATAGAAACGTGGAGGCATGCTGGAAATATTTTCCTTTTTACTCACAGCAGGCTCCCATTTTATTGGTACAGGGAACTTCTGTGCTGCCTGCTTAAATCCATCTCTCTTCTCAAGTGACAGGTGAACATCTTATTCTATGCAGAACCTATGCAGTCTTATACTAGACTAAGAGCTGTACTAATCCAAAATTGCATTCAGCTGTATGATTAATAACGGCCACAGAAAATTTGTTCTCCCATTCTTGCTCTTGAAGGAGAAATCAGAATCACAGCATCATCAAGGTTGGAAAAGACATTCAAGATCTTCAAGTCCAACCATCTACCCTACAAGCCCTAACTACTAAACCATTTCCTAAAACACCACTGTTGGTTTTTTTAACATCTCCAGGGATTGTGCCTCCACCAGCTCCCTGGACAGCCTGTTCCAATGTCTCACCACCCCTTCTGTGAAGAAATTTTTCCTAATATCCAATGTGAACCTCCCCTGGTGCAACTTGACCCCATTTCCTCTTGTCCCATAGCTAACCAGCAGGGAGAAGAGGCCAACACCCACCTCACTACAATCTCCTTTCAGATAGTTGTAGAGAGCAACGAGGTCTCCCTTCAGCCTCCTCTTCTCCAGGCTGAACAGCCCCAGCTCCCTCAGCCTCTCCTCATCAGACCTGTTCTCCAGACCCCTCATCAGCTTAGCTGCTCTTCTCTGCACCCTCTCCAGCACCTCGATGTCCTTCCTATCCTGCAGTGCCCAAAACTGCACACAGTGCTCGAAGTGCAGCCTCGCCTGCTGGTCACACTATTCCTGATGCAGACCAGGATGCAAATCATTATTAAAAAAAATCATGAACTAGAAATTTTTTGAGGAATAATGTCAAAGATAACTTTGCTGCTCTGATTTTGCTCTGCCTTGCTTAAAGTGTAACACATTAAAAAGATTAACCTCAGTCATATCCTAGAAAAATGAAAATATAAGTGTCTTTTAACTGCAATTTTAAATAAAAGAGTATTTCCTTGTTTCTTGTCCTTAAAGGAAAACACAATTCAAGCTTTTTTTCCCAGTAATTGTGAGTAGATTTTTTAAAATGCCAGCCAAGATTACAATTTCCTCAGAGAATTCCAAAAGCTGCAGCTTAACGGAAAGGGTTACCTTAAACAAACGAGAAAAAAAAATCCTGTCCGTTTGCAATCACAGAAAAGAAAGGCTATTTCACAATGCTTAAAAGAATCCTAAATGGTCAACCGGGGATTCTTGTGGCAAGGATTGTGTAAAACACACGCCGCGACGCTCCAGTGACCCGCCTGCTGTTTGATGCCAACTCCCCTGAGGGAACCACTTGCTGTGCTCAGTGTAACTTCCATCTTCCCAGACACCCCAAGAGCTAATGGGACAGGCTGCTCGCAGGGAGCTTCTCCCCTTCAGGGTGGAGGATAAAGACACAGCCACCAGTGAACACGCAAGTACCAGCTGTAAGTCATGGGAAATAAACACAACTGCCTTCTGCACGAGCAGGACAGGCGGGCAAAGCTGCATCTCCAGACGCTGATATCAGAGCTCCTGCTGAGCGGATCGCTCAGAGGACGGGTATTGCTCGTTTTCTGTCAGAACTGGCACATCAACCGCAGAGCGCGGTGGCAATGTTTGCTGTTTTGAGCAATGCCCTCAGTAAGCCCGAGAATGACGCCAAGTTGTGAGGGGCAGCAGCTCCTCTGCGATAAACCGGAGCTCTGCAGGCCGCGGGGGCACCGGGTGCCCAAGCGCGGATCTGCCCACAGGCTGCACAGCAACAGCCCCAGCGCCGGCTCGGGGGAAACCGGCACCAACAAGTCACGTCGGGACAATTTTATGTCAGCAGAGTGACGACGTAACAACCAAGCTCCCCTGCCAACCCCACGCACCGAACCGGGGCCGGCGCGGG